TTTTCTCCTGAGAAGCTGAGAAGCCTCAGAAAAGAAATGTAAACAACAATTATCTGATTGCTTGGAGTGTGGTTTGGAGGTTGCTTACCAACAGGTGGATCTTGGATTGGTTCCATGTGAATTGTTTTAACTTAATGACCAATCCCAGTCCTGCTGTGTCGACTCTCTGGTCAGTTGTGGGTTTTTATTATCATTTTTGTCTAGCCTTCTGATTAATTCTTTTCTCTATAGTTTAGTAAAATATAATATAATATAATATAATATAATTAATATAATCCTTCTGAGAACTTGGAGTCAGATTCTCATCTCTCACCTCATCCTGGAGACCCACAACACCACAACAGTTGGTCGTCCAGGAAACTGGACCATGGATGACCTAGTGCCAATGTGAAAATTACCCTGCGCAGAGCTGGCATCATGGATACACATTAATTTGTTTTATGCCAGTTTTCTACTGGGAGGGAGACCTCATAGATGAGTACCATACATCCCTAGAACAGCAACCAAGAATTTATCTTTCACAGAAAATATTAGCCATGGAAGGAATAGTTCCAGTTTAACTGAAAATGGGAGCGAGAGAGATGGCTTTGGTGCATCCTTCCCAAGGCCTCTTAGAGAAAGCTGCTCTAGAGTTTGGGGAAGGCAGCATACCGTGGAAATTGGAACACTGTGGCCTGCACTAAATTTCTGGCCGATGTGGGTTTTCAGAAATGCTTTGATTTGGTGCTAAAGAGGTTAAAGTAGCAAAAGAAATTGGCAGTGAGGGAAGAAAAAAAGAAGGAAGCTCTTCTCCAAGGATCTACCCTGAGTGCCTCTTGCTTTCCAAAGAGGCAGTTTCACTTGCCAGGACTATTGATCCAGGGCACTTGTTTGCAGCATCAAGACATATATAGCATTTTTAGAGGAAAATCATTAGACTGTGGCTGATTGGGAAAGTTACCCTCAGCTTAGCTTTAGCTGAGCTCAGTTCCTCCAAGCAAACAAAGCACAGGCCTGTGATTAGCCATCAGTTAAGAATCCCCTCAATCTCCATGTGACCCTTGAAGCATCACACAGCAGGTGATGCTGCAGGGAGCCTGTGACTGAAAAAGAACCCCCCACACAATGGGGAAACTCTGTGTGATGAGCTGTCAGCCTCCCTGCTTATCAGCATCCAGGACAGGCTGTTCTTAGAAAAGCATCTTGCTGTTAGAATCCAAGGCTGGGATTTTGATACTCCTTTTTTTTGCAGGACAGGAGGGAGGATGTCCAAATGCAGCTTGTGATGCCTCTCATGACATGCTTGGGTAGAAATTGTTCTCCTTGTGCTGTTATCTATTGTTTGTACCTGTGTTACAGCAGCACAGACTTCACCCCCCTTGAAGGTATTTCATGGAAGATTCATTCCTGATGCTTCCTTTCCTGATTTGTTTGCTTTAGGATTTTTTTAGAACCATGGGCCTCATGCTTGTGGCATGCTGGTGAATTTGGCTTGCCCTGTTTATTCCATGCTTCAGATTCCTGGTCTGCAAAGCCAGTGGTAGCTTCCTCCTCTCTGCAAATCACACCGAGATTAAGCAAAGCAAGGTGATTCAAAGGAGATAGCAACTGGAAACAAAAGCATATTTCCTTTCTTATGAATAATAATAATGAGCTTGTGCCTCAAAAAGTCAAAGTGATTTATTTGATTTCTGATTTTCTTGGTGTTGTCTCCCTGTGGGCTTCAAATGGTTATGTTTTCATTATTGAATTGGTCTTACACTCTATTTGCACAAGTTCTATACATTGCTATAAAATTACTAATTTTTATCTCTCCAGTAAGAAGGAAATTAAAAGTTCTGGCCCCTGTCTTTATTGTGGCACAGCTGAGGGAAGATAAGACTAAGTTCATGACTGTTGGATTGTCTCATTTTCTCTGTCTAAAGCAATGCTTAGGGTCTGGTTAGCCCTCTTTTTAAAACCTTTTTGATAAAAATCTGTGTTTGATCTGCTCAGCTGAGGTGGGTCCCTCCTTGCTGAGCCTCAGCATCCCTCAGTTTCCCAATGGATCAGCAGCGCTCCACTAGACCTTTAAATGTCCAAAAGGAAATGATGCTGTGGGTGGATCCAATCTATCAACAGTGGATCTGGAAAAGGAAGCTGGCCATTTATGTCACATTAAAAAAAATATTTACAATTTGAGGAGATGCAGATACATGCATACACATGTCTATGTGTATAAATATATTTTTATATTTTGTATTTTTTTCCCTGAAAGTGTTTTATATTTTTTGTATTGTTTTGTATTTTTTTTCCTGAAAGTTGAATGTTGGAGGCTGACCTGGGGATGAATTTTGTGTGAATTTAAGGAATATGGAGCATTTAAAGCAGACTGACTTCTCACTGGCTAGCCTGGCACACTGAACAAGTAAGGTTGCCTCATCCTTTTCCTCCCCAATCTCCTTTTACGTATATCCATCTCTTTTCTATTAGAAAAAGAATTTTCAGTCCCTCCCTCTGCAATAAAACTTACCACAGTGCACACAGTCTGTGCACACTGGAGTGTTCAAAATGGGATTTTACAGGCATGTGAGTAATGGAATAAACCTTCCCTTGGCTTTACTCCAGAAGGCTGAAATCCCTCCTTTCGCTGCAGCTCCTGCATCATTTCCACCATCCACCCTGCTGTTCATGGCATGCAGTGTGGTGAGAAGTTCCCACCCAGGAAAAAAAGCTCCCCACCTGCTGAACCTTGTCAGCTCTCCCAGACAATCAGGGCAGGCACCACAGAGTGGGGTGAGGTGCTCCATTTAACCTGACAGCACTTAACCCAGACCTGGGAGTTCGGATTTTTTGTTTGCATGATAATCCCAGATACTGGCAAAACCTGCTAAAAATCTATTTTGGTGCTCATGCTTTCCCTCCTGGCCCGGTGGTGTGTCTGCAGCCACGCCTTGGAGCAAACGTGATACTCCCACAAAGTTTCCACTGTTGCTGCCTTCCTGTACCCACAGGGATTGACAGCCCCACCACAGGTGTAATAGCTAAGCAGGGCTTTCCTTCACGAGCCTCAGACTCTCTCATAATTGCTCATATTCAGAAAAAAAAAAGGCAAAGGAAGTCAATTTAGCTCTTCATGTTGCAAATGAGTCATGCAAATTGCAGCAGTCAGAGGAAAAATAGGTGATCCCAGAGCAGGGTGTAAATTTGGTCATGTGGGTAAAAGAAGGGTTATTGACAAGCAGGAGCTGCAGGAGAGCTTGTGCTGGAGGAGGAGGTGGCTCAGTGGCATGGGTGTTCACTGGGGAGGGGGTAGGAAACCCTGATGGGTTGTTAGGCTGCGCTCCAGATGCTCTGGGGGAGGTGGAGCTGGGGCACAGAGCTGGTGACAGAGCTGTTCTCATGTGGGCCAGAGGCTGAGAGAATAAAGCTGTGAGATGATGCACAGTGTTCTGCTCTCCCAGTGCAAAATTAATTTGCAGTTACAGGTTTTTTAGCACATGTCATTGGCATCTTCTCATAGCAACAGGCCACACAATTTTCACCAATGACAAAACCTCTAAATAGCACTGATAAGAGAGGGACCTATGGTGCCACTCCCCATCCTCAAAGATGACTTTTGGGCTCACTCTGAACTGCTCTTTGACAGCTCCAACTCAAGATGGTTTAGTTTAGTTCTGCAAAAAATATTTGTTACATAGTCTTAACTTGAATGCTTTCACAAGGAATATTCACTGCTGATTTCCCTGGAGGTTCAACCAGAGACTTTCCAGCTCTCAATGGAAAAGGACCAATGGTTCCAGTGGAGCTCCATGCTGGTTTGGAGATCTCTCTGCACACAGCTCAGAGGAGGATCCAGACCTTCCTTTTACAGTCCTGCATAAGAACTCTAGTTTTGCTTCTAATAAGCAAGGGTTTTACATTGCTTAATTATACTTTACATGCTTCACTAGTAATTAAATGCAATCTGGGAATGGAATTGGAAAGGAGTGAGGATCAGGTGTAACAAATCTCTTGACTGTCACGAACCTGATTGGCACAGGGCTCACCCAGAAGAGGCAAGGCTGCTTAGGGGAGCCATCTGTGGAGCACAGGAGTTACTGAAATCTCTTCCTGCAGGGTTTGCCTTCTCTGTAGAGCGTAATTGTTCATGCTGCTTTTTTTATTTTTTTTTTAAATGTCTTTCTATTTTGGATTTCATTACCACAGTGAACTTTTGCATACAGAAAGCAAAGCACTGTCTGTGCGCAATTCCTACAATAATTTCTGTGTAACTGCAGACCTGCAACAATTCCTGCAATAATTTCTGTATAGCAGCAGATCTCAACCTTTTCTGTACTTTTCAATCTTATTGTCACTGTCACCTCTTGTGCTGAAACACGCTGACACTTCCCTCTGAAGTTTTCCTTAGTGTCCCCTAATGAAGAAAAGGATAAGGTGGGAGTACAACTAACTTTATGGAAAGGCACCGTGATGCTCGTCAGATGTCTCTGCCCCTGGCGCTTTGAGACTCAGCGCACCAAACTGAGATCACAGGGGGAGCAAATTGGAAGCGATTGGCGGACGAGGGCAGCGCTGGGTGCCCCGGGGCTCCTGTGCTCTCTCGGGAAGGTGTTCACTGGGAAGGTGTTCGCAGTATGACGGGAAGATGCTCTCTCGGAACGTGTTCTCGGTGTGATGGGAAGTTGTTCTCTCGGGAATGTGTTCTCGGTGCGTGTGGCGGGGCGCGGCCGCGGGGCGTGGCGCGGTGGGGCGCGGCCGCGGGGGCGCGGCGGGGGCTCGGCGCTGCCATTGGCCGGCGGCGGGCGGGGCGTGGCGGGGGCGTGGCCGGGCAGGAGTTTCCCACAATGCCCCGCTGCAGTGCGGCCGCCGATGGATGCTGCGCGGTCGCGCTGCCATTTGCAGTCGCCGCGGCTCGCAGCGCGCCCCGCGGCCCCGGGAGCTGCGGCGCCCCGGCCGCCCCCCAGCGCCTGCAGCCGCCGGCCGGGCCTCCCCTGCCCCCGCCTCCTCCTGCTGCTGCTCGGCCCCGCTGCCCCGGCGCAATGAACCCCCCCGCGGCCGGCGGGGACGAGACGGGGGCGGCGGGCGGCGGCGGCGGCTGCCGGGGCGCCGAGGGCGGCGGGGAGGCGGCGGGCGCCGCCGGGATCCCGGAGGAGCAGGGGCTGTCGGCGGCGGACGAGTCGCTGGAGGAGAAGCTGCGCAGCCTCACCTTCAGGAAGCAGGTGTCCTACAGGTGGGTGCCGGCCGGCCGGGCGCCTCTCGATGCCTGGGGAGGCGGCCCGAGGGTCCGGCGGTGCTGCCCTCACGCCGCTGCCTGGCCGCAGCACCGCCGGACCCGCCTGACACCTACGGGGCTCCTTCTTCATCCCGAAGTCTGAAAGAGCTCTCCCAGATCTTAAAGCAGAGAGCGAGCTGCTCCCAGCCCTGCTGCTGCCGCCAGGTTCGGGAGCGCCAGGGGAGATGGGGAGCGAGACGGGGAACGTGGGTGAAGTTCGGAGTTACTCCGAGCCAGAGCGGGGCTCCTGCCCGGCTGGCTGGGGATTAGAGCTTGCCCTTTTCAGTGGAAACAGCCGCCCGTGATCCCGGCGCCTCCAAACGCTCCTCAAGGGGATGGGAAAAGCCTTTCTGGCGGCAGCGCTGCTCCCCGTGGGGGTTTGGCTGTGGGGATTCTCCCGGAGCGCGGTGTCCCCTCCCTGCCCGCTCCCACCCGCGCCCGCCGCCGTTGCGTAAGCCCCGGCGGCTGATAAGATAAGACAAGATAGGGGAGCCGCTGTGCTGCGGGCTGGGGACCACCAGCGACAGCCCCCGGGTGCCACATGCCCCGCTGGGGCCTGAGCAGGACGGTACTTCCATAATCACGGTCTTCTCTTTTCATGGCTGTGCCTTTGCCTCACGCGTCTGATGGCAAATAAATGTTTTTGTTCCTCCTGTAAATACACCTGCGTCGGGGGGGCTGGTCTGCTCCTCTGTTCCCAGCTAGGAGCTGCTAATTGCCAGCATCTGCTCAAAAGGATTGCTGGCTGAGAAGGTCCGTGCCAAAAAGTTTTTGAGTGTTACCTAATTGTGGTTGCAGAGCCCCTGTGGAGGCAGCACGCCATCGGTAACTAATGTTCTAGCGTGCTCAGGGATGAGCCCTCTCAGCTGGGAGGGCAGAAAACACAGAGCTGTTACTGGTTCCTGCAAGGAAAGGGTGTTTCCAGCCCCAGGTAAATTAGCTGAAGGCTCTCCCCAGCCATGGCGATGCTCAATGTGCTGTCAGTTTACAGCTGGGATAACTTAGGAGCTGGTCTAAGCTCTGCATGTGTCAGGGCTTACAGATGATGTAATTAAACACTCTTCATAGCTGAGTTTTGTATAATACCTGATGTGTGCAGAGAGGCTTTCCCCTGCAGGGCTGATGGTCCCAGCAGTGAGAGTGAAGTTTGGGATGATTCATCCTGGACTCAGTCAGGTGAGCGATGTGAGAATGAAAACTTAGTGGATACCTCTGAAACAAACATTGCATCAGCCAGCTCTGGGTGCTTTTGCATCTCTACCCTGACAGTTTTCTTAGCTTGTCACATTTAGGGGCAAATCTCTTGCAGGTAAAGGCAAAGTCTGAGGTGCTGAAATAAGGTGGCTGCTAACAAAACAGGTTTGTTCATGTGCTTGCTCTTGGGACAGAAAGCAAGGAGTTTGCAATAAGTCTTCCTAGTGGCTTTTTTTGGGGGTGGCATGGGTAGGGAAGAGGAGATAGTGAAATCTGTTTCTAATGTTCTGCTGTTTAGATTGTTGAGAAGTGTGTTAAAGTTGTGGGTATTCTTTAAGTTTGCTGCATGGTCAGTATTTGTAAGGGTTTCATGTTAGATGCTTTTAGGAGGAAATGTAGGGTTTTTTCCTCCTTCTCATCTCCTTCATCTATGCAAGCATATAACAAGTCCTGAAATTTCAGATATCAAAGCCTTTTCTTAAGCACCTCTTGATGCATATCACTCATTCTACTTGACTTCAGATACATGCAAGAAAGTAAATTTTCTTTGCACCTGTGGATTTCTACACCTTTTCCTCATTTATAGCTGGTTTCCTACAGGTAATATTCACTTTATCCTTTATCCATAATGAGAAAAATCTGTATAGATAGAAGAGTATAAAACTTCGACAGAGGACCTCCCCTGAGTTCTCCACACCCTGTAACCCCAGTCTCTTTAAATTGCTACCATTTCCCTCAGTAATTTATGGTGCTGAAATTCATTTGTGAATGTAAATGGCTATGTTAGGTCCAGGAAAACCTATTTACATTGGCACTTGGACTCCCTTACCCACTGGCACAATAGAAATTATTCAAGGCTTCACAGAGCCTTTCAAACAGCTCATTTTGAGCTCTCTATGCAGGTGCATTACATTGCCATACACACCTGTAGAGCTGTTTTTATGCATTCAGGATTAAAAAAAACCCCAACAGTTGCAACTTGCTTAAAATAATAGAGGTGCATGAAAATGCATGTAAAAGAATAAATCTATTGGTGGCAGTTGAAGGAGTGAAATGGGAGGTCAGGGTATTGTTAGAGGAGAAAAAAAGGAGAAAAACTTCTGCTGTGACAATGCTATTGAACTGCAGTTTGCCTGAGTCTGGGCTTAAGGTATTATCTTCTTTTTTAATTTGTTGTTGAACAGCAAATATCCTCAATGTAACACATCTCTAATTAGCTGACGTTGCTGTTGCATGCATAGAACTTGTTAGTTTCTCTAGAATTGCACCAAAACTATGAGTAACATGCTCAGAAATCAATGTTTTGTACCGATGTGCCCTGTAGCCTGAAATGCAGAAACCGCTGTGTTAAACACGTCACGATTCTGTGTAGCAAACACCAACGTGGGCGTGTTTGTCCCCCAGTCAAACCAGCAGGAGGAAAAACTTGCTGTAAATAGCACAGGTATGCTTGGTGGGGAGCCTGACAATGCCCATGGCCTTGCTCCCATGCTCCCAGCCGTACCCACCTTGCAGCTGGCACTCGGCAGGGCTCGCTGTCCTGTCCGATCCCTTGGGAGCTGATCCGTGCTTGCTGTGCTCTGTCCCCAGCACTGTGCTGGAACTGGGGACACACACACACGGTGGGGGACGTGCCACTGTCCCTGCCTGAGTGGGACGTGATGGCTTTAGAGCACTTTGGAGCGTGGCTGCTCCTGTGTCTGTGGCTGGAAGATCCCTTGAGCAGATTTTCCTTTGCCCTGGAGCACCACAGCTGGGATCAGCTGAGACAGAGAGAAGGGATGGGACGGGATGGGACTGGGGCTCCAAGCAGAACCTTTGGTCCCTTGCAGCTCCTGTCGCCTTCCAAAGAGAGTGACAGCCACACAAATCTCCTTTTTCAGGTAGCAATCTCCCTTTTCATCTCTCAAATCTCCCTTTTCATCTCTTAAACCATCCACTCCATGGCTGGATGCTGACATCAGGATGCCAGCAGCTAAGCAGCAATTCTTAGCCCTGATTTATGTTTTACCCTGCACATAAGGAGTTAAATATCTTAACAATGTTTTGGCTCTTCTGCTGAAAATCTGACACGTTGGCTTACAAAATGAAAAACTTCTTTTTTCTTTTATTTTTTTTTATAAACTGATAAAACCAAAAGTTCAGTTTCCCTCCCTGCTGTGAAAAGATTGGCAAACGAAAAAACGAAAAGTGAGTTAAATATGTACATCTGCCAGAGAGAAATGCTTTTTACAGTTTGGTTCTCAGAATAGTATTTATCCCATACATTTCTATACCCAGCAGATTATTTGCAAGACATTGGAACAGAAAGCTGTGAGGTAATTTTTTTTCCCTTTAATTTTTGTTATTTTGTCATTGCAAAGTTTGTGAGGAACCTTGCGGTGTCTTTTAGATCAAGCAGAAGTTAAAGTTGCTTTCCTGAAGTAATTAATGATATAAAGAGAAATTCAGATTGTACCAAAGATAGATACTTAGTAAGAATATACAATAAAAAGCTAAAGTAGGAGGAAACCTGGAAAATAAAGCATTATCTGGCAGTCTCCTGCAGGTATTTGCACCTCCAAAATCTAATCTGAAATGCAATCTTGTCATTTAATTAAGCTTAAAGAAATAGTAAAAGTAATACATAAATGAATAAAAACCGCAACCAAACAAAAGATCATCCCTAAAAATCAAAACAAGGCAAGCCAACCGAAACAATCAATAGCGCAAATGGTTTTTAATTTCTTAATTAATTATTATTTAGAATTTCCAGGAATCTTGATTAGTGGCATTGTAAATAAAAATGAAGTTGTAATTTTTAATGTCCGTATTGTGAGAGCTCAGGTGATGCTTGGCAAACACCTGTCAGCAGAGAACAGTTTTCCTAGAGAAATGCAGTTTCATTCTGACCAGGCTGAGAACTCCTGACTGAGGCAGTGGGTGGCAGGCTTTAGAGGTTTTGCTCCTCCCTGAGCCAGGAGTGTCCAAATGTGGGGCTGTAATTAATGAACACCTCGGAGTCCTGTGCTGCTACCTGGCATTGTCTTGGCAGCTCCGTGCTCCTGCCGTGCCCTTGCCCAGACAGGGGGTTCCAGCAGGGAGCCATGCCTGGCCCTTTTGGTGATGGAGAGGTTGGAAGTGCTCTTTCCTTGGCTGCCCGAGTCCCCTGGGCACTCCTGGAGCAAGGAGTCACTGTGAGAGCACCTCAAGGAGGGGGTTTGGGTTCTCCTGGCTGGAGTTTGTGCCCCTCGTGCCAAATGGATCTGTTTGGGGTGTGCCTTGCGTGCTTTCCCGACCCTTCCTCTGCCAGCTGAAGGCAAGAATGGAGCTGGCCTCTCCCCCTGCACCATCAGCAGGAACTGCTTGCCTGCCCTGGCACAGCAGTTGTAATTAGAGCAGGTTTTGTCACTGCTTTTGAAGGGGGAAAAGTTATGGCAAGGAAATTCTGGGAAATCCTTATTACACAAACCCTGTCACTGTTGATGAGCATTTAAGTACCTGAGACTACAGATGGGGACCAAAGTGGAAATGTAAATTTGAAAACATCCTCATTATTTTTGTTCTTTTGTTTTCAGAGATGAAAACAGTCATAAGACACGCATCACTCCTCAGTAAATATTAAATATAGACAGGATAATAGATGTGTTTCCTATTACTAAGGCTTAATTGTTTTATGAAATGTGACAGCATTCACTAGTGTACTGTGAAGTATTATAAATAACTTAAGCTGAATGACATTTGTAAAAATGAAAACACCCAACACAAGCCTTTGATCTTTTGAT